GGGGAGAAAGAACTCGAAGCGTGGAATGTACACTTGGAGAAGATGGAAAAAGAAAGGAAAATGAAAACAGAAGAGGGGAAAGAGGTGAAGACAACGGACGGGCACCCTAAGAGTTCCTCAAACAAGGTTAACTATTATGACATGCAACCACGTTGTAATTACAACAGTATGTTTTTTTTTACTGGGGCAAAGAAAACCTGTCCTCAGTCAATTATTTCTTTAACGTGACCATTCCGTTATTATGACCTTTTCTTGGTGGCCCGATGGTTGGTCCCACTGTACTTAAAAAAGCGGTAACGATCTGAACACCGATATATTGTAGAATTTAAGTCAATTTAACTAATCGTTTCATAGTGTAAAAGAGCCATTAAGTAAACTTCCAACTTTTATCTTTTGTTTTGTCTTAGCTTGGCGACGTTTCCGAAGTGACTGTGCCTAGTGTCTCAAAGGCGGCTGCGAAGTCGGATAAACAAAGTGGTGGAATTCGACCACGGCCAAAGAATGTGTATGGTGCCTTTCGCCTCTGTCCTCATTACAGCGTTCGAAAAAGTTGTCCTGCAGGTGACCGATGCAGTTTTCCCCACAGCGAGGTGGAGAGGATCGCGTGGGAAGAAGACCGGAAAAAAGGTACCTACCCTGCAACTAAAATGCACTGTAGTTCCCAAAGCAACGGCGCTGTGAACTATAGATTTTAATGGTTGTACATGAATCCTAAAGAGGGAATGTGGGCCTCAAGTTAAACAAATTTACTTCTTAACACTTTGACAGCATTTGACACTTTTTTACAACGTAAGAAAAGTCATACCTGATGATCTGTTAGAATGTCCATTACCGTACCAAGATTTGCAATCTGCCCGGTCTACTAGCCTGATTTCCTGTGATATCAAGTCACTGACCCAACATCGTCAGATTCTTGGCCGGATTTGGACACGGTGAACACCTAATCGTTACTTCTTCTTACGCTTTGGCAGCATATCAGGCTTAGCTTATTTGGGTGGGTATTTTGGCTCTCTGCTTCTCGTCAAAATACATGTAGGAACCATAAGTATCACGTTTCGGGGCACATGANTATTTTGGTGAGTATTTTGGCTCTCTGCTTCTCGTCAAAATACATGTAGGAACCATAAGTATCACGTTTCGGGGCACATGAAGGTTAGGCATATGTGCAAGCAATGATGTGCTCCACGCAACCAATGCCATTGTTTATGAACCAATGAGATACAGGTAGATAACTCGAGAGGCCGGTCCAGAATAAGGCGATCATTCTGGTTTCACAATATTGTCGATAATTACTGAACACATGTTGTTGATACGGAAACGAAAAAAATCTACTTTACGCATGGAGTTGGAACATACTAAAGAGATTCTAATTAGAAATTTCGTCTCTACCTCTATCGTTACGTTTTCACGACTGACCGAGAGATTTTCAATGGCAAATTTCCCGCAAGAGTCATTTACACGCTTCCGATTGTTTTGTAAACAATGAGATTAAATGATTCACGTTGTAGCTAGCTTGCTCATGCGCCGAGCAATGAATCCCTCCCTTCAAACAGACCTCTTATCTTTACATGAAACTGGGACGTGTTCATCATAGCTGCCGTGCGGTGTATTAAAATTCCTTCGTTATTTTGTAAGTTGTAAACTTCTTACTGGTAGCTTCTTCGTTCGAAAAATGACTTAAGCAACTTTTGAGATATACATATATATGTAAGCATTGCGTCTGATTTCATTTGTTTTAAATGTTATTCATATTTTAGGTTCTTTTAAACCAGCCGCCCAAAAAGGCAATTCCAAGAAACAAAAAGCGAAAGGAGCCTTTTTAATTACACTGAAAGAATGGCGCCACGCATTTAGGGGACCAACTGGCTGCCGAGCACCCTTACGGATTCCAAATAAAGGCGAAAAGTACAGTATGTGTCCTGAGTAAGCCAACTTTCTTAACTTCATAATTAACAGTGAGAAGCATGTAATTTCAATAATTCTCCTTGTCTGTACTGTAATTTGAGCATTTTGGGTGAAATTCTAAGGGAGTTGGCGTGACCAATGGACAAGGCGCTGACTCGAATTCCGTAGGATTTGCGTGGCTCAGATCCTTCTTCACCTGTTCCTGACCTTCGCACACTTTAAACGTCTAAGTACTCTAAATACAGCAGTCTAGCATTGTGTAGAGCCTAGATTTTCAGGACATCCCTTGGTACAACTCGACTAAACTGGCCTTGTGTTTCGCTTGATATTGCTGGGTTTACCGCCTTATATTTAGATTGTCCACAATCCACTTTTTCTCTTTCCTTTTTTTTTTCCTTAAACCAAGATGGACAAAGGGAAGTTGCAAACTCGGCAGAGTATGTACATTTGCACATGGGGAGACAGAACTCACAGCATGGAATAATCACTTGGAAAAAATGGACTCTGAACTGGAAACAAAGAAGGTGGAGAGGAAAGATGTCGACTCCGCGGAGGAAAGTAAAGTCAGTTCACCTGTGGAGGATGAGCGACCGACTCCTACATACAAGGTAATGGCTATCACGATTATGCATGGTTTGGTACATTTGTTTGTACGAGGTTACCGCTGCTCCGTACACTCGTATAAATTCAGCATGTGCTACAAAAGAACTCCAAGAAAGATCCTTCGCTCTATTTGGCCAGCGTTACGTTTTAAATAAGTGCCATAATTAAGTTGATTTTGGAAATGTTTTTTTTTTTTTTTTTAATTTCAGTTTAAGTGCATGCCTGAGAACTAGCTAGTTGTAGCTAAGCGCATCGACCATTATTAACATTCAACAATCGCCTTTAAAAAAAATGCAAAAAAAAACAAGCCTGATATATATTTTAAGTACGATTAAACTTATTTTATGAGCACATACTCTGTGCCAAATGGAACGTGAATATTTTGCTCTCGTTTTTCATCAGGTCGAGGACCTAGTGTCGAGGCTTCCAGGAGTGACTGTGAGGTGTGAGCCCGGGGATCTTGATGTCTCATTGCAGGTGCCTCTGAACAGCGAAGGAGAAAACAGATATAGCTGGTCCCTGCGAATCTGCTTTGAGGTAAGACTAAAAACCGGGTCAAGAATTTAACAAGTTTTGCACTTTCTTAGAATTTCATGCTTTTTTGCAGACGTGGATCATATATTTTAATTATTTTAAAGTCAGTTAAGTTTACCACGGTTAGACTCCGCTGATTCGAACTCAGCTATTTTGAACTCGGTAACTTCGCGCTATTCCAAACTGATTNTTTTTTTTCCCTAAACCAAGATGGACAAAGGGAAGTTGCAAACTCGGCAGAGTATGTACATTTGCACATGGGGAGACAGAACTCACAGCATGGAATAATCACTTGGAAAAAATGGAGCAAGAAATTGCTAAAGACTCTGAACTGGAAACAATGAAGGTGGAGATGAAAGATGTCGACTCCGCAGAGGAAAGTAAAGTCAGTTCACCTGTGGAGGGTGAGCGACCGACTCCTACGTACAAGGTAATGGCTATCACGATTAGCAGTCTTTATGCATGGGTTGGTACATTTGTTTGTACGAGGTAACCGCTGCTCCGTACACTCGTATAAATTCAGCATGTGCTACAAAAGAACTCCAAGAAAGATGCTTCGCTCTATTTAGCCAGCGTTACGTTTTAAATAAGTGCCATAATTGAGTTGATATTGGAAATGGTTTTTTTTTTTTCAGTTTAAGTGCATGCCTGAGAACTAGCTAGTTGTAGCTTATTAACATTCAACACTAGCCTTCAAAAAAAAATGCAAAAAAACAAGCCTGATATATATTTCCAGTACGATTAAACTTATTTTATGAGCACATACTCTGTGCCAAATGAGACGTGAATATTTTGCTCTCGTTTTTCATCAGGTCGAGGACCTAGTGTCCAGGCTTCCAGGAGTGACTGTTAGTTGTGAGCCCGGGGATCTTGATGTCTCATTGCAGGTGCCTCTGAACAGCGAAGGAGAAAACAGATATAGCTGGTCCCTGCAAATCTGCTATGAGGTAAGACTGAAAACCGGGTCAAGAATTTAACAAGTTTTGCACTTTCTTAGAATTTCATGCTTTGTTGCAGACGTGGATCATATATTTTAATTATTTTAAAGTCTGTTAAGTTTACTACGGTTAGACTCCGCTGATTCGAACTCAGCTATTTTGAACTCGGTGACTTCCCGCTATTTCACACTGATTTCTGTTTCCCTTGGCCTAAAATCTTCCCTGCTGGCCGAGGCTCTTTTCCTGGTGTTCGCTGACGGGAGAAAAGAGACCTCTGCTATGGATGGAAAATGGCTTTGATTTAACCGCCGTCCACAGTCTAGGACAGCTCTATTAAAACGTATGCTCCTTGCGTTGTTTGCTGACCGCAACTTGAGCCCGTTGCGTCTCGCGCATTTCTTTACATTAATTCCGCTGTCGTTTATTGAGCCCACACTGTAAACATGGAGTGCTCATCGGCGTGCTCGAAAGAGTTCAATCGTTAAGAGTTACTAAGTTTGCTTTCTTCCGTTTTGGATAACCTCGACGATGGAAAGAAAAAAAAAATTGAGTGACGAGCAGTTCAAGGCCCTGTTTCATTATTTTAACTCGCGAGACACGTTTGCGTGCTTGCCGACCGAGCTACCAGACCGGGCTACCAGATTGCTGTACTTGTTGCACGAATGGGAAGGGGAAACCTTGGAAAACATCCGATCCAAGCAGTTCCTTTTGAGGATGGACGATCGGTTGATTGGAATTGTTGTGGACGAATCACATTGTGTAGTGAGCTGGTAAGCCTAATCTCGGTTTGTCGATGTTTGATGTTTGATATTTGAGTGAAAGGTTTTATTTTCGTCACGTGCTACGAACACCACGTGATGGCTCGGTCGCTAAGCCGCGGAGCATGCTCAATATAGCCATTTTCTACCCATGGCAGAGGTCTCTTTCTCCCGTCAGCGAACACCAGGAAAACAGCCTCTGCTAGCAGGGAACCTAAAATCAATCCCGTATATTTCGTACTCCAATGTTAGAAAAGTCGAAAAATCAACATCATCGTGGCGTTAGACAATTTTAGAACTTAGCTGGAAAACAACAACTTGGGCTTTTCATTACGCTTTAACCTTTAACTGTAATGAACTTTAAACACAGCAATAAGTAGTTCTCTGAATACGATTTCTATATTCTGCTATAGCCAAGTGCCACTGGCAAACTGCAAGATGTAGTGCTCTTACCGCAGCACCACAGATGCTACACCCTTTCAAGTGTCAAATTTAACCGTGCAGTGACAGACGCCAGTGCTGCGCCAACAACCGTGAAAGCATCAGACTCTGAAGAGCTTTCTGTTGACATGTTTCATTACCCAGTAAAACCTAATCTTCAAGAGTCGCGCGGCAGTTGTGAAGTGGAGATCGTAGTTTCATTTTCGACTCTTGTGTTTGGATACTTTGCTCAAGTCTTGGTGCTCGATTTCGGGAAGGCAAAACATCTTGCTGTGAAAATGACTGTAGAGGTTGGTAGTCAAAAATTTCTACAAGAGTTTGGCGAAGCGAAGGCAAACTTAACGTTGGATTGGCCGTTGTGGGATGACGGATCTCGAGACATTATCAAGTTTGAGCCCAAACGTCCTTCAGTGTTCAACAACGAACATTTGGTAGCCAAGTACAAGCTTCCCAAACGGGAAGATATAGTGCCTTCCACCCTCCTTGATGGATCTAAAGGCTTGAGCAAGGACAACTACAAAGACGTCATGCATCAACTATTATTCGTAGAGGAGTTCTACATTCGACAGCAATTTGCCAGGTAAAATCAAGAAGGAAAGAAATGCATGCATGTAGAAATATAAATTAGAGTTTCGAATTCTTTTAACCGATATTTAGCACCTCTAGCTGGTTATTTCTCGTTTAAGGGCGTACTTGACACATCTAAGACTATGCAGTCTCGCAACAGTTTCTTGCCTAACCTCAGAGAAGGCAAGCTTGTGTACAGTCAGTGAGTGTATGTAAATTCTGCTTTCGACTGTCATGGCATAAAACCCTTTGGTGTTCTAAGCTGTAAGAACATCGGATTCAGGAGTGATCTCGAGAGATCTGGGCTCGAGATTTTGCCAGTGATTAACATAGTTTTTGTGTTCGAGGCAAGGTGCCTTACTCTTACAATGTCTATCCCCAGCTTGTACCAGAAATACTAATGGGTGCTGGTGAATTGGTGTAAGGGAAAACTAACAAATGCTCAGCTGGAGCCGCCGGTAACCTCCAGTAAACTAGCATTTAGGAAAAGTAGTTGAAATTGCAGTCATTTCTCGTTACCGAAGCCCAAGCTCAAGTAAGCTTCAGCACCGAGGAGCCATTGTACTTCTCTACGTTCTTTAGGATTTAAACATTTTTTATCTCGAATTGGCTGAAAGCATACACGGCGACAACGCCAATATGTTTAATATGTCCTCACCCATATGTTGACTGCTTTCTTTTGCTTCACAGTTTTAACGTACAGGGTGTAAACATGTACGCTACACAATTGCTGGTGAAGACAGACGAAGTCTTGTGCGCGCAGGAAGGATGGCTTTATGGCTCCTTTCATGTCTCCCGGCCAATAACACCCGATGACGCGAATGCACGACTCTTGCTGAGGAATCTTTTTGGAAGCATGGGCTCGGTTCTCATAGCCAAATCCCAAATCCCTGATTCTGTGGTTTATGAAGCATTAGTAGACTCGGTCGAGGACAGTCGAGTCATATTAAAGCTGTCTTCACAGTGCTGTGAAGATCTGGCGCTGTCGAATAACAGTGATGTCACAGTGGACGTTCAGTTTCACATCAACAGACTTCCTCTATGTGAGATGCACGACAATATTGACAGACTTGGTCCTGAGCACGTGCGAATATTGTTTCCGGAGTTCAGTGGTGTTGGTTTGGAGGAGAAGGTAAGAAGTGCAATGTAACAACCATCATTCCTCTACGTTTCAAACGACAAATACTATATTTAGTTAGTTTCTTCTTTAATCCAACCAGAGATAGAAAAAAAGAGAGTTCACCTGGCCATAGTGTAGATGTCCACCGTCGATGGCTTACAGCGTAGAAACTAGAATTGCTAGAGTCAACTAGAGTTAAGGACGCATTCATTGACTACTGTAAATACTGAAGCAAATGATTAATACTTCTTCTTAGTGAGATGCTTTGAGAAGTTGCACTGGATATGGTTCCATATGTTACCCTTCCAATGTCTCAAATCTTGACTTGTAATCTCATGAAGGCTCGTTGTTTAAATATATTGGGCTATAGGTCTCAACACATATTCGTTTTGATATCAAATTCAATAGCTTTAATTTTAATTGTATTAACATTTTTATTATGGAATTGGAAACATTGAGCCACTCATTAGTTGTAATATCATTGTACATATCGTTATCAAACGAAAGTATATGCTGTGTTACGGATTTTTAATGAAACTTTTTGTGTCGAACTGTGTATCAATGGCATCTTTTATTTNTCAGTTTCACATTAACAGACTTCCTCTATGTGAGATGCACGACAACATTGACAGACTTGGTCCTGAGCACGTGCGAATATTGTTTCCGGAGTTTAGTAGTGTTGGTTTGGAGGAGAAGGTAAGAAGTGCAATGTAACAATCATCACTCATCTACGTTTCAAACGACAAATACTGTATTTAGTTAGGTTCTTCTTTAATCCAACCAGAAATAGAAAAAATGAGAGTTCACCTGGCCATAGTGTAGATATCCACATTGCATACTGACCGTCGATGACTTACCGCGTAGAAACTAGAATTGCTAGAGTCAACTAGAGTCAAGGACGCAGTCATTGACTACTGTAAATACTAAAGCAAATGATTAATACTTCTTCTTAGTGAGATGCTTTGAGAAATTACACGGGATATGGCTCCATATGTTACCCTTCCAATGTCTCAAATCTTGACTTGTAATCTCATGAAGGTTCGTTGTTTAAATATATTAGGCTATAGGTCTCAACACATTTTCGTTTTGATATCAAATTTAATAGCTTCAATTTTAATTGTATTAACATTTTTATTATGGAATTGGAAACATTGAGCCACTCATTAGTCGTTATAGCATTGTTCATATCGTTATCAAACGAAAGTATATGCTGTGTTACGGATTTTTAATGAAGCTTTTTGTGTCGAACTTTGTTTCAATGGCATCTTTTATTTTAGATTCATCATCTTCCTTGGATTCTTGACCCAAGCTTGAATGAAGACCAGAAAGAGATCATCAGGAAAATAGCAGCACCGTCAATTGATGCACCCCCTCTCGTGGTATTTGGTCCTTTTGGAACGGGAAAAACATTCACATTGAACCAAGCTGTTCGTCGTATCGCCGTCAACCTTAACAACCGGGTGCTCATCTGCACACACTCAAACAGTGCCGCAGATATGCACGTAGAACTTCTGGATGAATATCTGAAGGAGCAACGTGGAATAGCTGCCTGCAGACCTTTGAGGATTTACACACCTATGCGTAAACTGTCAACCGTTTCTGACAAAGTCAAACAATATTGCCTCATCACCGACAAAGGGAAGCCAACAGAAGCCTTCAGACTTCCAACTCGCCATGAGGTGTTAAGTCACCGAGTCGTTGTATCGACTTTGGGCATGTCCAGGGCACTTTTTGACATGGAACTTCATCGTGGATTTTTTTCGCACATCTTAATCGATGAAGCGGCTCAGGCACTGGAAACTGAAACACTTACACCAATCACACTCGCAGGGAACAACACCAAAATAGTTTTCACCGGCGATCATATGCAGGTACGTTCACTGGGGTGGAAGCCGGTATGCGGCCAGCTTATTATATGCAATTCCCCTACTTACAGTTTCTGGCATTGTAGTGACGTTAAAGAATGACAGGAATAAAAAAAAACTTACGTACGTAATAACGATAGAAAACACGGCACTTTATTAAGCGTTGCAAGCAACCCTTAAAAATTTGAGACTTCAACTATAATATGCACGTAGACGTCTTCCTAAACTCGCACGATCATTTGGAAAAAAACACTTTTAAGGAAATGGTATTATAGCCTGTATAGCCAAGAATCTATATGGAGCATCTAGCAGGCCCTTACAGATATTGCACTGAAAGTGAGATTTTTGTAAAGCGCGGAAAATCTTGTTCTTCGTGTCGTTTATTTTCTTCTTCATTATCCCTTAGATGAGTCCTGATGTGTTTTCCCCACAAGCAGTGAAGTGGGGATACCAAATTTCCTTACAAGAAAGGCTCTTTCACGATTACAAGGAGCGGCGAAAAGAGAAAACGCTGGATCCAAATCTCATCTTATTAACAGAGAACTACCGCTCAAACGAGCAGGTTCTTCAGTTCTCGTCCGACATGTTTTACGGTGGAAAGCTTTCTTCTGGTAGCAAACAACCCTTACACCCTCTACTTGGACCACTTGTGTTTTATTCTGCTCTTGGCAAGGAAGAGATTGAACATAGCCACTCCTCATATCGCAACTTGGCTGAAGTCAATGAAGTGGTGAAGCGAGTCAAAGAGCTCACCGATTCGTGGCCTGGCGCTGAATGGGGTCCAAAAGATCTGAAACAAGTTGCTGTGGTTTCTTCCTACCGTTACCAGGTACTTAAAGTATAATCGTTAACTTATAAAGGATAACAATGTGGGTAAATATGTTTCATGCAGCATTCTAGTTATTTTAAGGTAATTCTCCGTTCAAACATAAATTATGCGCAGTAAGGATGCGCAATGCAAATGTGAGGAATCACCTCAAGGTTAACCATAAATATTTGAAGTATGAAATATATTTTCGTTTTTTAGGTTAGGACAATTCGAGATGGGCTTAGGAAAGTTGGTCTAGGACAGGTTGATGTAGAAACCATTGAAAACGTTCAAGGTGAGTAAGGGTAGTATGCTTCTCGAGATTTACTTCATTTGAGATGTTTCCTTGTAATCAGCTTTGGTCAAACTGTAGCATTGATTGAATGTGTTTTGTCGTGTGCACATTCACAAGGAAAATTATAAATATCAGTGAAACAATTCTCCACACACTAATGATATAATTATGTTCTCTTTATCTTTTCCAATCTTTTTCGCTTTATTAGGAAAACAGTTCCGTGCTCTTTTCATCAGCACAGTTCGAACTTTTCATACCTGCAAAGAGTTCGGTGAGCGCGACCTTGGGGAGAACGAGAGTCCATACCTGTATTTCCTGTCAGACCCTAAGCTGCTAAACACCGCTCTTACACGTGCCCAGTCTCTCATCGCAGTTGTTGGTGATCCATTTTCTTTGAGAACCGTGGGTGCTTGCCAAGGGCTGTGGGAAGAATTTATCAAGAGATGTAGTGACCAGGGACGCCTGTTTGGAATTGAACCCAACGAGCTTGAAGAAAGTATATCGCAGAGTGGACTTAATGTCAATGCTACCGAGTTTATGCCAGGTGCGTTCTCAAACACCAGTCATCCGGCTGCTAAAAACCAAGACTGTGGCCTTAACGTTACGGCCAGCAGTATGTCACCTCCTTCGCCTCAGGAACTTGAGTCAAATTTCAAAAGGGGTGACCGCACTTTCCTTTCCAAGGGAAAGGGCCATTTTAGTGACGATGCCGACACAGTCCCTACTGACCTTGAAAACTTAGACGAGAGTGAACTTGCAAGTGCATCTGATTCCGACGATGCGGGGGACGAATTGTCTGAGAGTGACGACCTGGGAGGTGCCGATGACTTTGCCGAGTATGGGAATATGGATGAGACAGTGCCCCCAGAGTACATGGATGAAATCATCCTTGCCTTGAAGGCCAAGTGTGAAGAAAAAAAAATGAAAAGAAAAGCGAAAGGAGAAGCAAAGGAAGAGAAAGTCGATATGAGACCAAATATTCCACCAGAAGACAGCACAAAGAGCAATACAAGTCCCCTTACTACTCATTCTGGTTTTAATGACGTGGGAAACAACGTTGTTCACGAAGACTACAAAATGACCACAAGGAAAGGTGAAACTCGTATTTTTCTGGTGAACTGGAACGTCAAATACAGCGAGCGTACGCAACGACTACTTCGTGAACCCAAACAGAAAGAGCAAGAGAGCCTACAGCCAGAGTATCTTGATCGTCTGTTAAGGGACGATCCTCATTCATATCGCACATGCTCCTTGCACATTAGCCACGAGAGATCAAGAACTTTGTATGGAGAGATTCAAGATCTTGCTACTGACGATATTTTGATCGAAGGAAACACTCGTCAGTACTTTGATCGAGACAGGGTCTTGGTAAAACTGACCAACTTACCTTCCAGTAGCTCGGAAAGAATGAAAGGTGAGATAGTTGGGAGATGGAATCGCCCAATCAGTCTTCGTGAACTTCAGTTTGTTTGTACAATCAACAGAAACAACCCCTGGGTGATGTACCCAATAAACAGATCGATGACACCCATCGGAAACTTGAGAGATGAATCTTGCAGAGGAGTTCCAATTTACAAAAGAGTTCATCCTGGACATGCGGAGAAAGCAGTGCGAGTGGGCACGCTATCGTTAAGAGAGGCATTGAGTGGCAACTACCTCTTTGTCGTGCAATATTTGCAATGGAAACGTGAATTTCCATATCCACTTGGCATTGTAACAAAGAAGATCCGTAGAACCTCTGATCTTTCTGAAGCTTTCAAACTTCTAGCTGCTGAGTACCAACTGAAGGAACTTTTTCCAGATGAGGTTGATAGAGAGGTAGAAAGACAGATTGACGAGTGGTCAGCCAGCCCAAATCGTGAAAGAAATAGCCGCCCACATGTGAAAAACGCATTTACAATTGATCCTCCTGGAAGTAGAGCTTTGGATGATGCCTTGACGATTGAGGAACTAGAGAATGGTCTTTACAAAGTCGGCGTTCACATTGCTGATGTGTCTTACTTTGTGATAAAGGGGAGTAGAATCGATACCGAGGCGCGAAAGAGAGGAACTTCTTACTTTCCAGGTCACAGTTTTGGAGACGTTCTTATGCTTCCGGAAGACCTAAGCCATTGCATCTGCAGCCTGTTGCCGAACCAAGAACGACTTGCAGTTTCTGTTTACCTGGTTCTGGACCAAGATGGTGGTGTACAGGAAGAGCTCGATTTTTGTCGAACGATTGTGACCTCACAATGTCGTTTGACTTATGCTGAAGCACAAAAAGTCATTCTTGGAGAGCCCATCAGAGGTAAGCCTGTCAGTGAAGGGGAAGTGACACCGGTGATCGAACAAAGCATCCGCACCCTTAGTTTCTTAGCTCAAAAAAGGAGGCAGTTGCGTCTTGGTGACAAATCGTTCTATCATTTCGACCACGCAGACCGAAAGGAAGACCTTGAAGCTCATGAGTTAGTAGAAGAAATGATGATCCTTGCAAACACATCTGTGGCTGAGTTCCTTGTTCGGAGACAAGCAGTGTTGTCTGCGCCTTTGCGAATTCAACTTCCTCCCAAGAGGCGTAAACTAGATGAATGGATAGAGAGGTTTGGCGAGTTTGCTATGCTTTCTCTTTCTCTTAGAGCGCATCTGCGTCAAGATGGTCACTGCACGGAGTCCTTTGTTGTGCCAACGTCTACATGGAATGACATCAATAAAGCGCTGCGCAAACAGGATCTCAGAAGGTTAACGCACTTAATTTGCAATGATAACATCTATCCTCAACTTGCTGCTGCACGTTCGCAACTGAATTGTCTGCAAAGAAAAGCTGAAGATGTAAGAGCAGCTGACGTGGAAGTAGATCACAGAGTTCATTGGTCCTTGAACGTGTTGGAATACACTCGCTTTACTTCTCCGATTCGTCGTTATCTTGATATTGAAGTTCATCGCTTGTTACTAGAGAACGAAGGGCAAAACACGGCGCCTGAGGATATCTCCGAGCTTTATGGCAGGTGTTCATTTCTATCCGACAGATCGAGTAAGTTTGAGAGAGATTGTGGCCAAGTTCAGTTCGCTGCCGATCTTAAGGAGAACACTTGCGAAACTGCCGCTGTCGTTGAAGTCATCACGCGGGATTTTATTCAACTGCAACTTCTGTCTGATGCAAACCAGTACCTCACTCTCAAGCAAAGGAGAGTCCGGATTAGTGACTTGGGACCAATTGAGCAACCCCAGTTGGATGAATCGTCAACTTCCGTTGAACTGAAGTGGAAATTTAGGGTGCACGATGCTTCTGCTGAAAATATGAAGCATGCAAGGCAGTTCAGGGATCAGGAGAGACATCTCCGTGAAGACAGAAGCAAGATTGAAGCATTGTTGTACGCTGTCTTAAACTGTTCAAGTATTGATTACCACATTCCTAGCGATTATTGGCTAGAAGTCGTGAATGCTGTTAAAGACAACGATTTGAAAAGGCTGAAGCAAGGATTGAGGGAAGTGTATAAGATCATTTCTCGTCAAAGGAGGGAAGCTTCGAATGAAAAGATACGACAAGAACGACAAGGAGAGCAGGGAGAGGAAGAAAACGACCATGACCGCGACGAAGATGACGAACACAACGATGAAGATGACGATGAAGATGACGATGAAGATGACGATGA